CTAACCCCCCCCCCAAAAAAAAAAAAAAAAAAAAAAGTGTTGAAAATGCAAGTAGTTTTCAGATAAATACAGACAATAGCTGTGTGGATACCACAGTATCAAATGGCAGAATGTATACAGCCACGCATATGAACAATGTGTTCTACAACTTCACTAGCATTATTTGTGTACAATTACCTTTGAGACACAACTATGACTCATACTAGTCACTGCCACTGGTTTCAGCACGTAAACTAACTGTACGTGTTCACCCAAGGCCTGTGATGTTGACTGGTAGGTGATCCCAAAATGGACCTTCATATAGCCATTCCACATTAAACCCCCCCCCCCCCCCAAGACCTAAATTTGGTCATAATTTTTAGCCAAAATTTAGTCTACTAAAATTCAGGCTAACTATTGTAGAGCCTGAAATGGAACTGAAAAAGTGGTAACTTCTTTCTTTATTATAAAAGGGCAGAATGTCACAACATTTCTTTTTTTTATTAGACTATTGTCAATTTATTTAGGGTTAAAGTAAAACTTAGGACTAAAATTAAAGACCAACCATCCAAGTTCCACCAACCAAGTTCTTTTGTAAAATAGGGCCTGGAAAACAACTTCAGTCTCTAAATTTCTTAACCTTCACATCCAGCCACAGGGTGGAAAGAAAATACTATAACATCATCAAAAGAGCATAACTTAAAAGCATTTTCACACTGTTCATTATATATTATTATATTGTTATATTGCAAACGTGTGAAGGAAATGAGATTGAAGTGAACAAATAACACTGGTGTTTTATGAGCTGAGATTTATAGACAGTTTGGTTAGGTGCCCTTGTTATTGAGGACCAAAAACATATATACACAGGTATGTGCAAACTTTTGTACAGCAGTTCAGAAAGAACTTGAATTAACCCTAAATCACGAAACAATATTCCCTAAAGCAAAACCCACCCTTTCCTATATCTGATCCATACCGATCACTTTTTCACATATAAGATGACAGCACTGGACCATAGACTTTATGGGACCCACTATGGTTCAATCAGTGCATTCCCAAAAAGCACCAGCACTAACCAATGAATAAGTTGGCAGATACAATGCGCATCCGTTTTGCAATCACCATAGCAATTAGCTATAAATGTTTAGTATGACAGCACAAATACAATTAATATCTGCCCTTCTTTTCTGATTGACAAGTAATTTGAAAATTCTATCAAATTGTGCATACATTGCAATTGGCTGACATAGACAAAAATACAAGTACATTTGACTGGTGTTTATAAAACACCAATAATACATTAACAGTGACTACTACTACTACTACTACAACAACAATCACCATGACATTTGTGCACGTAGACAGAACTTGGTTTTGACAAAATAAAATTAATAAAGGCACAGACATGAGCATTTCTTCCCTCACCTCTTCCCTCCCAAATGTTCATTAAAAACACAAAAACCTATTTATCCTCCATAGCAGCTAGTTTGAGCCCCTCCTACCTGCTGTAAAAATATACCCATGTCTGCTTCCATTTTTTTTTGGATAATATGGTAAAACTTTCCAAGAATAAGAACTGTAATTCTCACATACACAGTGCTATACACTGTAATATACAGTGTTTTTAATATAAACACATTAGTACTTCAAGGTCAAGGTTGTGAAGCATCTAAACCAGGGCTACTGAGGGGACAGAGTCATGGGCGCCTGCAGAAAATTTTCCAGGGGGGGGGGGGGTCAAAGTCATTGAAGGGGGAGATAATGATTGGCTGGATACCCGCAATTAACGTGCCTGCCAAAATTCCATTGACCCCTCCACGGACGCCCACAGACAGACCTATAGTGTTGTTGGCTGCCACAGTGCACTGTTGGGAGTACTGCCTGCTTGGACCTACAGGGTGATCCAATAGTTACTACACACCTCAATGGCACCTCAATTCCTTGGCAAGTATTGAAATGTAAACGAGGACAATTTTTGTACAATATGTAGGGCCCCTGATGGAAAATTGCTCACTTATGTCACGTTATCGCTCACTTTATTAGTTTTATTGTTTTGTTTCATTTTGTTTTTAAGGTAAAGACAAGGGGGGGGGGGGGGATGGGGTGTCTACAAAGATCTGCCAGGGTCTGCCATTTACAGCAAACAGCTGTGAATCAGCTTTAATTTTCAACAGAGTAATAATTCCAAATTGAATTCTGAAGACGTTTGTGTACCTGGCACACAGAAATGTGAGCCTTTAGGCAACCCCACCCAGAAATAATACTAGAGGTTTAATTTCCAGTCGTCTGGAAAAAAAGTTCACCTGTGCCAGACAAGTCTCCATGTTTCACAAACTGATCACTTTTTAACACTGAGCTTTGTACATTGCAGATCTAATCAACCAGTTTCTCAAAAGCACCAAGTAAATAGCCAATTTTTTACAAACTAGCCTAATATCTTCCATTGGCTGACCACTGCTACATGTGTGAACATGCTTTTTTTTATGTTAAAACACAAAACTTAACACAAATGTGAGGTTCAATATTACTTGTTCCTTCAACCATAACACACACTATGTATTGAGATACCACAGACTGGTACCATCTTACCATCATCTGGATGAACGATGACAAATGCTATGTACATTCCTCTGTAAACAAGTAAATAATAACAACATACTATCACATGCTATTTCTGTGTATAACAGTCTAATTAGTCCCCCCCAGACCTGATCACAACTGTCACATGATCAATAATAACAAGAAAATACTTGAATACCCTGATGTATTACATGTACAGGGGTATTAAATAAAAAACTCTGCAGGACGGTTCTTACAGATCAGCTTCATAATAGCTTCAAACAAAATCTGAATGATTTCCACCCTTTTTTAGTTTACTGCGAAACTTCCATTTCCTCTGCCCCGTTCCCAACCTCGGTTTCATACAGAGTCTGTTGATGCTGTTGCCATGACAACATGTCTGCTGGGAAAGGAGGCATCACAGGGTGCTGCTGTGCAAGTTTGTAAGAACTTTGGCGATTGACTTGTGGACGAATCAATGGCAGCTGTGTAGGGTGCGTCAACGGGGGCGGTTGCTGCGGCAACGTCTGTGCACAGCTGGTTGGCATGGCAAAGCCAGATGGTGAGGTTAAGGGAAACCCCGTAGCGGCAGGCGTCTGCTGCATGCCAAACGATGTGACCCCGGTGTGATCGAGATTCATCTGCTGAAACTGGTGATGCATCTGGGACTGCTTCTGAAGAATTTGCCGCTTCAGCTGCAGTTGGTGTTGTAGTAACTGCTGCTGTAGTGGCTTGTTTTGTGCCTGATACTCGCAGGACTTCAACATGTACAGATCAGGGGCAGCCATGTCTTCTTGGCTGTCAGGAGAATTGGTGCCCAGGATGCGCTCCACGTGGAGACTCTGCTTGAGGGCCAACAGCTTGTGGGGCTGCAAATCAAAGGATTCTGATGGCAAGCTCATGCGTTTGGCTAGCAACCGCGGTCTCTGCGGGGAGGAGGTGGGCTGGTTGTCGAAGGACCCCGGTCGTGAATTCATGCGATCATAATATTGTACCTGCTGTTCATTGTCCATCTCCTGTATAGTCATGTGCTGCTGGTAGAGAGTCTGAAGGTGCTGCTGTTGGTGGTCGGCATGCAGGTCCATCATCCCCGGTGCCTTGTGGCCAGCACGTAACCGTTGTCGAAATGCTATGATCCCCTGTGTCATCAACCCATCAGATGCGCGCCGTCCCTCTCTGAAGTTCACAGGTGAACTGGTTTGACTTCTGTCCACTGGTCCATCTTCAATATGCTCTGGAGGGGCCGGCTGTGAAGCACATGGTTGCTGATAATCACCACTAGATGGCATTTGCATCTGCTGCATGGTGCCTAGACAGGGTTGTTGCTGCAGTTGTTGTTGTTGCTGCTGCTGTTGTTGTTGTTGTGCACAAGACAGTAAGTTTTGATGTGACGACAAGCTAGCAATGTCTGCTTCAATGTTTGAGTCAAAACTGGCAAAGTTTGAATGTCCGCCGCCAATCATGCAATCTCCTGTATTTTGAGGGGCAAAATGGCTCAAATCGCCATAAGCATTGCTGGGGATTAATCCCTGTCCGCCCACATTATTGTCTGTGATTGTATGTCTTCGCACCGAATTTGACTCAAAGTCACTGTCATAAATGTCTGCCTCTACGCCTTCGTCTATAGAGGTTGTGATCATCTGAGTGGCCGCTAAAGAGGCTAACTGAGTCTGTGTCATGATGGGCTGGGGGATGATGTCCTGCAAACATCCCGTAACATCAGGGATCATGGGAATACTGTCTGTCTCACTGAATATCTGCTGTGGGGTTTGCATGCATGTCCTGCCCATTGCACAGTCCATACTGTGATGCTGTGAGTACATATGACCATAATGACCTTGACACTGCATCCCACAACCTTGACCCATATTCTCACTGATGAACATGTCATTTTGTTGCTGCTGCTGATGTTGTTGTTGTTGTTGTTGTTGCTGCTGCTGCTGCTGCTGGAGCTCTAGTTTCTGCTGCTGTATTTGTAGTTGTCTTATTGCTTGTTCTGCAATTGTGCTTGGACGGCGTTGTCGCGCGTCTAGGTGGTTTTCTACAGGGAAACTGCTCCTGTGCTGTTTTAACCTGTCCAGCAGCAGGAAATAGATAGCTGTGTAGTGATCATATGCATCTTTCCTGAGAGCCTGCAATAAAGGCAAAGCAGAAAACATACTAATATTTTTTATAATTTAAGCAGTTTTGTATAAAATCTTCATCACCGCTTTTTAAAAAAATATTACAAGGGAAGATTTTAAAGAACAAAAGTCAATCTGATGTTTTGTTTCCGCATTGTTAGCACTGGTACCAAATGCTAGTAAAAATGATGATGGGGCCTATGAAATGTTAAAAATATAATCAGTTACTGGACACTGCTTCTGTTGAGGCCAAAAGATTCCTGATATTGTTGTTACCACAGAAAATTAAACTTTCAAGACCTGGAGCCAAATCAAAGCAATACCAGTTAATGCAACCATGATTCCTGTACCTCAATTGTTTTCTGCTGATCAATCCCCAAGCTCTGCATAAGGCGCAGTATCTGTTCATTAAATTCACCGAGCTTGGCATTGTAACCAATCAAAGGTGAGGATGGTAAAGATTTTGGCGGCCCTCCATCCTCCTGCATCCACTTGTGGCGTTTGATCTGTTCTATCGTGTACCGCTTGGACGGGTCTAGCACCAGCATTCTGCGGATCAAGTGTTCACAGTCTGAAAAACACAAGTCAGAAAATACAATATAAACCTGAGTAACACAATGGTCAACAAAATTGAGTAAGACAAGACATATGAATGTAATGATGGTAAAAAAAAATCTAAATCATTTCTAAAAAAAGAATTAACATGTTTTTTTTTCCTATGAAGCAAGACATATTGGACCTCCTCATTAAGGGGCCTTGATAGCACGAAGGAAGTGTACCCCCCCAACCCCCCTCCTTCAATTCCCCATGTGTGGTTATGTCTTAACTTCCAGTGCTTACATTACTTTTTAACCACATGTATGCAATTTAATTTCACAAAATTTCTTAAGATCTGTCGGCTGATATAACAAGCACTCCATTAATATGAGGCATAAACGACAAAAGATGATTTATTTACAAAAAAGACACTTAACTTGTGATCACGCTTGTGGGAGAAAGTGGGAGTGCACAGATTTGTATGTTGTTCAATCAATACCCACCACATACCCTAGATTAGCTGCCAATTAGTCTTAATCACATTTTACTCTTGATGTGATATGTGATGAAAATTATCCCTAACTCCATTCCTCATACTCAATGTCTCAAAAAAGCATACATTGGACATTAACAAACACATAAAAAATATGACACTGCCTGACTCAAAACCCACTCACTATCAAGAATTTAGGGATCAATAATTTCAGACTTCTTATCAAAATTTGTTACGGGGGAGTATGATCTCACTTTGATCAAATTTAAAGTAATAATTCCCTTAAGTTGAAAAAAAAAACTTATGAAGTATAAAATTCAATCTGAAACTGTTGTGACCAACTGGGGACAGTCCACAGATAAATGATCCAGCAAGTTGTACTTAGGTTTATCAATAAATTAAGTTGTATAAATAGCAGCAAACATCAAATAAATAAGGCTTGAGTAAAGCTTTAATAGCAGTTTATGCCCCTTTTCTTCTAGCTGACCAGCATTCTTACAAACCCGGGTTAAGCAGTTTTCTCTGTAATATTTCTAAATGACACAAACCATCCATCAAAGAAAGCAGTAGGAATCCTTGAAGACAACAAACAAATAACAACTTGCAATCAATCTTAACTGAACATTTGTGGTCATATTCTCAAGTTAGTGAAATTATTTTCTTGAAAAATCCCAGTGCAAATATCTGAAGTAAACCTCAGTGTTTGTCTCTTACACTTTTATAATGGAGAGAAAAAAAAAAACTTGATGGCAATAAATATAATCTTAGGGCGCGTTCCCATAGATTTTAGATCGATCTATCCCCATGGGGAGTCTCACTAGATTACTGTCAGGTAATCCGGCTTAAATGTTCGTCCCACCTACTACAAGCTGTAAGGGGGTAATTAACTTTCGTGCCCGCTCGGCTGACAGCTATTTAGCGTGAACCCCCAGGGAGTTAGTTCGATCTAGTTGGATCTATCTAAACTCTGGGAATGGGGTCTAAATGTACAATAATCTTAAACCTGTTCTGCACAATGACAGCTCATATTTCTCAATTTTTTTCTGGACAAATTCATCATCTAAAGGACACAGTTGAACAGATGACGGTTTCATTTGTCACACACGTGTATTGCGTCCATACTTAACACTGATCACCAAAGCATGAAGCCCTGACATTTCAAAATGAAACCATTTACTGACAAATCAATAGTAATTACAGGCAACAAGATGAATGATGTGGGCGTATGACGCACAGAGGCTACTGCTATGTAACAGGTCTCAACTGAAATGCGTTGGACCTGATTTATTATCTCCAATACTGGAAACCAATTCATTAAGAAAGCTGTATCAGGTATTGATACTCGAGTGAAGTCTGGTAATCAATATGGAGGCTTGTGCTGATAAGTTTTTAGAGCATATTTTGAAAACAGCTTCACATATATGAGAGAGAGAGAGAGAGACAGAGGGGGGAGACAGAGGAAGAAAGACTAACCATTTAATTTAAAAAATGAAAACCTAAGAATTAAAGACTGCTGGTATTTAAACCTGGTTTTATAATTCCCACCAGACTTCTGTAGAGTTGTGTTGGTACAGGTTTTGAAACTTACGTACCACACCTCCTACCATAAATTATATATTAAGTTACACTGATGTTTATTTCTATTTAAATGCTGTTTTTGAAAACCCCATTTCAATGTTCTCTTTTATGTAAGAAGGAGAAAAACAAGGAAGACTTCTAGATCTTTTTGAAATGGCCCAAAATCTGACTTTCTGCTTTTTGTGAAATGAGCCCAAAGTCAACATATTTATGTAGATGTCTTCAAAAGAACCGACATTCTTATTAAAAATCCAGAGCCTGAGCTGTAGGTAATGAAAGTAATTATTCACATGAATCTGTCAACATCTGCATCATTCAAATCATTAATAATTTGTAATGTGAGCATATGTTGTTACTACAAGCTCTAACTCAATTAGACAGCTCCCATTACAAGAGGTAGAGAGATAACTGGATAGCAATGGTAGTCAGAAAATATGCCACCAGATCCTGCGTCATGTCAAAAAAAAAAAAAAAAAAAAATTATCAAAGTATTAACCAATAATGCCTGTCTGTTATGTAAGAAAGTGATTGTTGGCAGCTGGAATAATGAGAAAATTTAATTGTCTCCTTTTTCTCTGATATGTCCTTGAAAATAGTGCAGTGATACAATTAAATGGCAGCACCGACTAGGAAATTAGAATACTTTAATTTAATGGCTCGCAATCGACACGAATGTTCTTAGAACAGATCTCTCCATCACTTAATTACACTTGTACCATCAAGCCATACATGTGCTGACCTCTACTGGAGAGTGAGAGTGCAAAGTACTGATTACGTCTGATTTGTAAATCTTTTTTTTTTTTCCATGCACTCATGTTTTAATCCATCCTTTTGTCATCACTTGTTTTACCAACCTGCCGATATCTTTGTGTATAAAATGTTTTCACTTATAGTTATCTAAAATTCATTATATGCCATTATCATCAAAGTGTCATCAAAACAGAACAAAAACTGATAACAAATTAATGTTTCTTTAAATGAAAAGCTTTCCCCAACCCAGAAAACTATGTTGACTTGGCACCATGTAACCCCTTTGATAATGATGTTAATAATTTGTGTTTGTCTTGACTCATAACAATGCAATCTAAAAATACCCACTCTCAAACCAATTAATTGAAGCCAGGGGGCCTTGAATGACACTGGATGCAGTTTTTTGTGTTTGTTTACTGTTAACTATGTCATACATATATGAGCAAAGAGATGGAAAGATTACCAATGTTTTGCCTAACAAAAAAGCATACTGGGATTTAAAGATAAATAGCCCAGCCAAAAATTAATATATATTTCAACTGTATTCATAAGGATGTCAACTTGAAATATCCTAACAATTTTATTTACATACACCAACATGACAATCAAAATTATTTTTAAAAGCAAACAATGTTCATGAGACCTTAATATAGCCAAAAAAAAGGAACTTTTTTGAAAATTTCAGCAATTTTTCCTTTATAACCAAAGTACACCCTACCCACAACTGTTTGGAAAATTATGATCTCTCAACTCATCTACAAGGTTCTAAATTTTTAATTTTCACCAGTCCCAATATTAATACCTAATACAACAGAGAGTGACAACTAGACACTTGCCTCTGTTATACTGTTTATGGATCTTAACTCTGCGGTTGGTTTTGGATATGGTGCCCATTGGGGATAAAGGACAATGCATTCCAGGGAAATTTAATTTTCGCTTTTTCAAGGTCTAACACTCTTCGCGTGCCCTTAAAAAGCACCTTCAAAATGCACACAAGCACTCACCCGTGGACATGAAAAAAGGGATCCTGAAGCGGCCAGACAGGACACGGTCACGTAGCGTCTGCAGATTGTGTCCGTCGAATGGGAGAGCACCACACACCAACACGTAGAGGACCACACCCAGACTCTGGAAAGCGAACAATGTAATACACAGTTAACTTTTTACTGTACACTGCTGCCACCTTTCTGACCACATAGAGGTACAGTCTAACCAATAACCATTAAAATAACACAAATTATCTTTTATCTAGCAAACTACATCACTGACATAAGTTGCATGAAGCAATCAGCAATATCAAAATTTCAAAGCACCATGCTGAATTCTGTTCACTTATTTTGTTGTCCTACAAATTAGTTGCGGACTATTAAAAAAAAAAAAAAAAAAAAAAAAAAAAAAACAGCATTCTTTTCTTTCATATTTTACTACTGTACTCAATTAGCCTCAGTTAATTTTTTACCCAAATGTCAATCTGTGGTCCTTGATATTTCCTGCCTTCAAACACCTCGGGAGCAGCATAAGGAGGGCTGCCACACCATGTCGCCAGTTCCTGGCCAGGACTGAAGTGGTTACCAAAACCAAAGTCTGCAATGGGAAGAATGTAGGTGAAGAAGCCTGCCATTTTTGAGTCCCTGAAATCAACCTTTCCACACCATAATCAGTATTGATACATTTAAACATTTTGAGTTGAATTTATTTTTATTCTTGTGTTACATAGTTGTGCCCTTCTGAGAGAGAGAGAGAGAGAGAGAGAGAGAGAGAGAGAGAGAGAGAGAGAGAGAGAGAGATTATAAAACCACCATTAAACACCACTGAAGTTATTAAACAAAACAATGTAAACATCTTCCTCGTATTCTGTGCCCATACTCATGTAGAAACACGCATACATACACACATATCTGTTCTATTTGGTGATTTACATAACTATCACCTTTATCCAAAGTCATGTGCAAAAACACATTCACATTCATGTGCAAAAACACATTCATAAATTTTAAAACTATTCGCTTTTTGCATTTTCAAAAGTTCAAGTATTAGTAAGAAGACGAGTTATGCTGTTTTAGACTATGAGTGTACTCTGCTTACGTCTATCACTAAACCACAATTTCATTGTGAATAGCTGTTCAAAAGTACATAATAATTCCTTGTTAAGTACGGCTGAACCAGGTAATTGTCAACATCCTGCTTGATTTTAACTTCCCTGTATTCATGGCACACACACACAAACACATACCCACCCAAACACACATTTCTATTCAAGTCATTGATCAAGAACAACACAGCAAAAGATTTGTGGCTTTCTTTCAACATCTTGTGAATTTAAAGAAGATCATTTAATTCCCTGGGCTTATGATGTATATAAGTCTATGTCAAAACCATAGTCTTTTTCCCTTCTAATTTTCACATCAAATATATCTCATACCTGCTATTTTTAGGTTCATATTGGCATCTAGGAGTAAGTTTTCAGCCTGCAATAAAAAAAGAGACATTAAAATATTTAAACCCTCTTTAAACTAATTATTTAGGGAACTTGACCAAAAGACCAAAGCATCACCAAATGATGAAGAAATTCATCCCTTGCACCCCTCTTTTATCTAAAATTTTGCTTAATTGTACCTGAATCCCCACTGACCCCCCAATTCATAAACAAATTACTGATGTGTTGAAAAATTATCACACAAGTACATTCCAAAAGACTATCAGATTACTTGCAAGTTCCTTCCTAGGTGTGTAATTTTACTGTCACAAGAATGTACTTTTCTAAGAGAATTCATTCCACTTTAAGAACTGTTAACTCCACATATAAATGGTGGACCAGCAAGGTAATAAGTTGGGAGTATATGAGTCAAAACGTTTGTTAAAAAAAAAAAAAATTGAAGGCTCTTTAGTACCCTACTGGCTTTGACCGCAAGGAAAGAGATTCCCCTCCTGCCCCTCCCTTAGTTTGTTAGTATTTATTATCATTGACAGCATAAAAGATTTAGTAAAAGATAACAGTCAGTCATACTATGCATTTACAACATAAAACATGAATTTACCATCTTTAAAATTGTGTCCTCCTCAAAGTGCATAATTATATAAATCTAAATAACCGAGTATCAGCTCGATCTTATCACACATCTCATAAGTAAATAAACCTGAAATGAGCGGAAGATTTCTATTTGAAAAGCAGAAAAAAACATGGGGCAAATATGATGTACAGAGTTAGAACTATCACTTCTCTGTTTCATCACCAACAGGTAATTTTCACTCATTTAGACATTGATTCAAAGTAACCCAAGAACATTCATAATCTCATCTGGCTATGTGTGGCGTTTAGAAATGTAAAGGAATTTCCAGGATTTGGAGGCAGCAGTCAGATTACACATCTGTACTTCAAATCTGTGCCTACGAGGATTACTACGCCCAATCAGTTTCCAAGAAATATTGCAGGCCAGACAATTGCATTGACTCGTCTCACAGAAAACCACCAATGAATCTCGTCTGATGCACTGACGCACTTGTGCAGCTAAAAAGCATCAACCCTTAATATCTGTGTGTTAATTAGAACCCCCACAGACGTCAGTCTGACCTCAGAAAGCCCCCTGAGTAAAAAAAAAAGAAACAATTTCATCTGGAGATGGCTCCCTATGGACAAAGTCATGGATGCAATGCATGTTATTTGAAAGGTCAGATTATCTTTGGTGGGAGGTCAACTCTTCAGCAATGAAGATATTTATTTTTTGTTTAAAAGAGAGCAAAAAATTATGCTTAAGTCAAGCTTTTTTTACTGACACCAAAAATATTTTTCATCATTAGTCTAAGACCCTCGCCGTCATGTGTAATCTAATTGTATTAATGAGCAATCGAGATACAGCCATTCTAGTCTTCCTTTTTTATAAGGCCACAACTGATAAACATGATAAACCTTTCTCTTTAGAGAAATTTCAACCTGCTTTCTGTATCCAAGCCTTTAAAAATTATAATTTTTGTAACTATCTTCCAAAACTTTTTTATTTTGTGTTTACTCTTTGTTTACTCTTTTTTCTTTTTCTTCCAAAAACTGTTTATCAGTTTATTTTTTTTTAACTTATGATTACATACCAAATTTTCTTGATTCCAGTTCTGTAAACTCTTGACTAACTATTCTGTTAATATTTTGAAGCCTGGTGGTCAAATTAAATGAACCTTGCACTACTGAAGTATATGCCCAGACAGAAAAGATAATTTGTCACTAAAATCTTTGAATCAGACGGGTATTTACAGGTAAAAGTGGGTGTGTGAGGCATATGAGATCATGAGGATAAAGAATTATTACCTTTTGGGTTAACAAGCAGAAGGAATGTAACTTATGACTCGTTGGACTTGTGCTTTGTGCATGTAACTCCAACTTTCACCTTGTATCATGAACCTAAGTGTAGACTGGACATGATCATTATATCTGTGGAGTGGGCATGGTCATTATACCTGTTAAGATACAGTCATTATATCTATAGGCTGGGTGTAGCCATTTAAACTATGGGCTGGGAGTAGCCATTATAACTGTGGGCTTGATGACCATTATAACCATGGGCATGGCACAGTCATTAAAACTATTTGCTGCACTAGGTCACCATCAGGGGGTCTTGGTGATTATACGATGCTATACAGTAGGTGACAGTACAAGAAATTGCTTGAAAGGTCAAGGGCATAAATAAATGACGAAGAATCTGATTTGTTTTTTTGTTGCTTCTGATCACGAATGCTGTAGCTGCTGTTGTTCTGTTTTACTGTTTCTTTTTTTTCTTTACATAAACTTGAGTTGTTTTCTTTTTTTTTCACAAAGAAAGATGTGCTTGTGGTTAAAACTATGACATCTTTGGCATTAACACTCCAAACTGGAATGGGTTCCATTTACTTCCATTATAAAAAAAAAGTTCATGAAAATGAACTAACATTCTTTGGCTCAGCACCGTAAGACTTTGTGTTATAAAACTTTATACACAAAAACCTAATGAGCATCACCATAGATATATAATATATAATATCTACATACTCTCAGATGCATTTAAACAGGCAGAAGTGTAAAAACCAGTCATCCAGCAGTGAGCCTCATGAAATAAAATGGAGTAAGACAACCACTGCTGGTTAAGTAATGTGTGGTTTCTAGAGGAGATAGTTTATGAGGTTTTCCGTGTAAACACAAGCAAAGGATTTGACAGTATCACCCACAATTTTCCAGGACTTGCCAAACAAAATCTAGTTCCAGTTCCAAACTTAGAGATACCCTTATTCGTGCATGCATATATTTGCCAACAGTACTGAAATTTTGTTGAAACCACTTTTTTTCTTCTATGAACATACCAAGTGGCCTGTTTTAAAAATGCATTCCTTTTATCTCCAATTATATTTAAGAAAATGCAGAGGAAGCACCAATTATAAGCCACATAAAACGACTTTGAGGCTTCTTTCAGAGAAATATGAAGATATAAAATTGTCAGTTTAGGCCAGATCCAGATTTGCCATCGTGTCACTCACAAACAGATGCTGACTGTTAAAGGCACACAATGCATGGAAGGCCATTGTATAGTTTTATATAGCAAAATAGTTCCTAAAAATTCATTATTCCCCCTTAATCTACAAGGTATAATATATCCAATACAGTTCACAGAATTATGATCCAAAACCATATTTTCAAGTTCAAAGTTTATAGTTTATAAGTCACTCTTGTATTGGAAACAAGGACTGGTAAATTAAAACAGTGACATTAAAAATGAGAATCCTTAATTATTGATATACAAAGGTCTAATGCTCATAGTATTTTGAAATATCTATTATCAAGGCCATATAATGTCAATTTACCTTCAAGTCCCTGTGTACCACATGACGACCATGACAGTATTCAACTGCTGAAATAATTTGCCAAAATTTCTTCCTTGCTTCTGGTTCTGACAGTCTGCCATGTTGGGCAATGCAATCTGGGAAATGATAAAAAATACAATCCTTGTTAAAGTATGAATTTGGGAAATATCTTATAAATTATCAGGGACAACAAATTATTATTATTATTATTATTATTATTATTTATTATCTGCTGAATTTTATTTGCAAGTAACAAAATCTAGTCGGGTGTAAACTTTATATTATTTTGCTCGTGAGCATTTACAGTCACGATGACCTACTGGGTAAAAATCAAGAGCTGGAAGAATAAAATTATCTGCTGAGTCTCTACAAGTATCTATGAACCCCATTAACACAGGATTGAAGATAAGGGCCTGTAACTTTTTAATCTGAGATAATAAACTTTCCAGTCTTCATGACGACACTGAAATCAGCAGAATGTGCTGCCATGGTAACAATGGCATCATCTGAGGTTGCTATAGAAACAGCTGGAACATAAGAGCCCTTAGGGTAATGGATATTATAGTCAAATTCAAAAGAGAAAGTCTGCACTTGTCCATAAAAATTAATCTGGACACAGAAAAAGACTACTGTGTCTTCTAAACTCACCAAACATTTCTCCATTGGGAGCATACTCTGTGACCAGGTAGAGCATGTTTTTTGTCTCCATTACCTAAAATTATTAAAAAAAAAAAATTGGTGATTGGTTTTTTCTTGAACTTGTTTTGCAAATAACATAACATTTATAAAAAATGCTAACGCAACAGGAGTTGCAATGAAAATAAGCAAACTTTAAAGTGATTCTTTATTTATCAAAGATCACTAGCTGTAATTCTCAATGTGCACACAAAGTTAGATCCTTTTCAACAAGCCGCCATTAACATAGATACAGTTTTTTTAAATATCTGCTCTCATCAATTTTTTAATGTTATTTCAAAAATTATGATTTTTTTCATATCTCTTTCAAATTTTTTTAATGGTACCAGTATACTTTCTGACCCAAAGTAAAAACAAATTCAATGTATATAAAAAGTAACTGTAAGAAAAATTGGTTGTGACTAAAGAAATTCATGGTATCTTTTTTCTTTCAACTATAATTCCAAAATCTTTGGAGGTTACTGTGAAATAGTTTATCTTTTAAAATGATTATCCAAGACAACCCCTAATCTTCTGTGAAATGCTAACCCATTAAAAGTATTAACAAATTCCTTTCTTAACAATTAGCTGAAATGAAGACAAATTGTATCTTGGAAAATGACAGGCATGCTATATGTGCGTGCTGTTTACTATTTCACGTCATTAATTTGACTAGCAGTCTCCTGATCACAAAGTTTATTCAAGGTAAAGACTGACATATGCTGAGGGCTATATTTCATTGAAAATAAATTGTATCAGCTTTGAGCATTCTCAGTCTCTTGCAGTGGGAGTTATTCCTGGTCAAAAAAAAAAAACTGTGCTTCCATACATTTTATAATAAAAAAATAAGACCTTTTATGCTCAGTAAAAAGTAATTTATGCTTGCCCGAGCCCAACCAACATTAGAAATAAAAGTCTAAAGCTTTTCTTGCAAGATAGAAAAACTTTGGTTAAAGTTCCATCTAGTAGGAAATTACCTGGTACAGCTTGATGATGTGGGGGTGGTTCAGCAGTTTCATAATCTGGACTTCTCTGTACACTTTTTGTTTATTGGTTTCATCTAGCTGGGTTTTGTCAATAATTTTAATGGCTACCTGCAACGAAAATAGAAACATGTCTAGAAACAATTTTACAGAAATACTCGAATGACAGGAAGATGTTTACCAAACAGCAGGCATTTCATTTACCTGCTCTTTTGACTAACATAAAATAGAATTGAAATCATGCTGACACAACTATTTCTGGCATCAGACCTTAGAATCACATAACAGTGTGAAGATCTGACCAAAAATAATACAGGTAGAATTCAAATTTTTATAATAAAATTGCTGGACTTCACACACTCATAAACAATAATAAAATACAATGCATTTTAAAAGCTTTTAAAATTTAGACATGTATGAAAATGAGATATATACCATGACATATTTTATCTTCAATCTAAAGTTAACCTGGTGAGGCTGACACGTTAAAGCAAATAAGACGTAACATTGGATTTACTCATGCGGGCTTGAATTCAAGATAAAAGTTGAACCACATCATAATTTATACATATATTGGGGTTGATGCTGGTAAAGCAAGACCAATCAATGCTTGATATATTGACTCATCTAATTGTTAAGAGCAATTTTCATTAGTTTCAATGAGGTAGCAGTGGTTTTAATGTGGGAAACTCTTGGAAGTGTAGGTTGTTAACCGACATTGATATTCATTATAGCATTCTGGTTGACTCAGAAGCCCCATTATTGAGCAGTTATATGGTTACTAGTACATGCAATGAAAATTCAAACATTTGGAAATTCAGATCTTAAGGCTCCTTTTACTAGAGCAAGGGTGCACCCCCCCCCCCCGCCCCGCCTCCACATCTAATATCACACACACATACACATGCATGCAGAACCACACACCCCCCCCCCCCCCCACACACACACACACAGTTAATATCTATTTCAAGGATTTACTGCTTAACACAAAAGGATGAGAGATTAGGTATTTTACAATTAGAATAAAAAGGCTCAGCACATTTCAAGGGAAACATGCTTCACAAGATTAAATAAATTGTTTGTGCAATACCAAGAAAATACAAAAAGACCGATTATGCTGTCAACTGAAATAGCTTATCATCAAACTTTTTAATATCCGTTTCTGAGAATGTGACGCGCTATTCAAAGGTAAGCTAGCACCATCTGAGTAAAAGCAATGGATCTGCACCAGAAGTTGAACATAATAACAACAATCACACCTCTTGGAATGGATGACGTCCAAAGGCCCCATACACAAATTGTTATACAACCAAGTCTAAGTAAAATCCAATACTTGGCCTTATAATCCGCATGCAATCTAGTAAATAAGTCGGAATTCTCACCCTTAATCAAATCACATATCATTTGTCAATATTTTGTGAATCAATAAGAATTATCTACTCTGATTTGTTCAACACAACTCATTCAGTCTGTTTTTTTCTTGGTTAAGTAAACCTAAATAATGTGGTAGTGTTAACCTACATTGGTTAACTTAAAGGCTTTACCCACCCACCCACCCACGAAAAAAAAAAATTCACGCCTAGGAAAAGAGTACCATTGTTTTACATCCACTTTTATACATGAGAAACAATTCAAAATGTGAACCATACTTTTTATAAAATACTTCGGATTATATGGGCCACATCACACAATTTTGGACAACAACAGAGGTTAAATATATATTTAAAAGAGAAAATGAAATACAGTTTCAGGGAAATTAAAACCACTTTTCTTTTGCGACTGGTTGTTCCAACTATTTCATGATACCCATTTCTTGCTCACTTCTTTGTTTTCCATTACTGAAAATTCTTTTTTATTTCATGTTGATTCCTTCACAAGTTAGATGAATAAAATCTGAGTTCTGTGACGCCTTACTTACAATGTGCAATCAGTAATACATCCAGTCATCAGGAAATATATATATTCAATAAAACAGACTTGGTTATGTTTCCCTGTTTTAGGTCATGAACAACTGTTACTCCTCAACAACTTCCCCTCCCTAGGTCTACATACCATGACTCTTTTCAAGTGTTTATATTAAGAAATAAGGAAAATTAAAAGTTGTCCTTTTATTTCAGAAAGATGCTCATATGTTTTTACATTTACAATATTTTGCTAATAATGATACAAACAACTTTTTTTTTCAAACCGAATTTCAGAATTAGAGAAATCTTTTTTTAATACTCCACGGCCCTGACCAATTTTTATCTTAATTTGTCCACAGTTGCTTATATTTAAGTAACTACCAAGTTGGTCATTATAAGTAAGGAAGTGTTCAAGAGCCAAAAAGATACTTTTTTCTCTTTATCTTTTTTAACTAATCCTTTAACACAGCCATTGAAACTGTCAATAAGGTTACATCAAGGTTCAGGTGCTTCGCTAGCTTCACAGCCAAGTGTCTGCAAATTCAACAATCATTTTTGTTGCAGCCAAATACCTCCCTGAGTATTTAAAGCAAAGCCACCTTTAGAGCCAAAACTGTCTATTGGGCAAGAAAATCCTGTGTATTCGTTTAATCATCAATGTTTTCTTTGCCAAAATAAATGATCGTGAGAATTTGGCAAATATCTTAGACTAAACCACAGATTTCACAAAATAAAAGAAATGCCTTTTTTTCCTTTTAATAATGGTAAGACCAACAATTGTTATAGAACTTTTGGAGTTTAAGAATTAAAAATCTTGGCTTACAACAGTTTTGACTTGCTGCAAATATCATTTCCTTAACAACATCAGCACTTGCACAAATATCATAAATCATTTCTATCGACTTGTAACAAACTGAACCAGAAATTATTCTTTTTCCAACTTCAAAAAGAAGAAATTTTCTAGATTAAAGTTTAAAATCGCCAAAAAATTTTCCAATCAAATTTAATCATAGTGAAATCTATAAATAATAAGTTTGGTTTACATAAAACAAAGGTAGGTATTCCATTCCCCAAAGAATTATCAATCTTATTTGTCCTGACATTATTAATATAATTCTAAATTTAATGATAACATCTAAGAAGATTGCAAAAGAAAGCATCAACAGCAGTGGCAAAGGATTTTAATTGAACAATGCAACACAATTATAAATATTATCATAACAGGTAGAGGTGATAGGAAGGCAAATATGCACAGTACGATGCAATCCACAATACTTTGCAACAAACAATTATCCTGATTAACAGTTTTTAATTTATTTAAATGAAATAAAAAATGCTTGACACTTAAAAGTCCCAAGAATAAGATGAGAGAGGGTGGCATGCACTGTGCAGAGTATGAGAGTGCACATCAAGCAAACTCCATCAAAGAAAATAGTGAGCTGGTTGAAGTTATTTGAATTTGGCCCACTCTGGTAAAAAGAGAACAAAGGCGAGATAGTGTGCGCTGCATGCATCATAATTGGGGCCCAACACTAATTTGGCATGTCACCGGAAGTGGATTGTCCAAGTGATAAACAAAGCGTATCGGGTTCGTTGCAGAGCCTCTCAAACTTCAAATCTGTGCAATTCACCCGGGGCGACTGGTAAGGCTTTCAATGCACGGCTAAAGTCTTATCGAGCGTCATTTTACATCTGTTTCATAATATGTTGTGATATGCAGGTTTGCACCCAACATCGGAAAGTATGCTTGCCTGCTCCGACAGCAGGTCGGTTACGCTCCTCGCCTCTAGTCGGGGGGCAAGTGTATGACCTATATCCTGTATATTACTTGAAATACTGTGGAGGTCTTTGTGCAAAGGGGGATCAGAAACCGTGTACTGCGCAATTAAAGTAAACCAAAATACAGCCATACTGACTGCGAATTATCATCACCTACCTCGGTTTTCGTTATCCGATGTCTCGCTAGTTTTACTACAGCAAAATTGCCTTTTCCGATTGTCTTTACAATATCATAAAAACCGACCCTAATGGGTGTCTTCGTACGATCCGCCATGTTTATAACCATTGTCTATAAAGTCCTCTCAATCTGCTCGGCTACCCTGGATCTACTAAATCTCCATCGAGACTTTGTGAAAATTGTAATAAGCTTGTACGGCCCGAGATACATGATCTAAAACCAAAGTTATTCCACACACCATACATCAACGTGCGTCAGAGTGACGTCATTCGTGAAGCAAAGCTAGCCTCCATTCCAAGCCATCCTTTCGCATAGCAGTTGCTATAGGTTCACCAACCGGAAAAAAGTCATGATGACGTCAATCGTACCCTACAGAGTGTTCCAGCTCCTTGTGTACAACAAAGACGGATGAATGGAAGCCCTGATTACGCAGTGAGGCATATTATTCTTGATTAAACCAGTTAAATCGTATTTGTGTTTTATAATATAAATTTTGCATAAAAAGACTCAACTCGCCAACAAACCTCAATCAAGTATAGTTATTCGTACGCGCAGCGCGCCTTTTTAGAACCCTGTAATTTTGCCTATAAAACCTTTAAAAGATTTATTTCGGTGGTAAACACACGAGGCTATCCTTCCTCCCAGACGCAGGTATTGACCAAACTGGCAAAGATGTAGACCTACACACGTGTAATGAAGTCATTCAACTTGTTTTCGAGGTTGAATTTCGTTTTAGGTTAGCACTCGGGAAGTATTCAATCTGATGTGAGACAGACAAAGGTGTGAGGTGTGGTTTTTCCAGGTTTATCCACCGGTTAAACCAAGTGGTAATTCAGATATCGCGATTCCATCTTTTATTTCAACTGGCCATTGGTGATTTCTTGCCTTTTGACGATATCCATTGTCCTTAAAAGCGGCGTGTGCGCGTGTGTGTGTGTGCACGCGTGCGCGTGTGTGTATTATGCATAAAATAAAAAAAACTCTTTTTCCCAAATAAGAATGGTGGATAAGATTCGTATCAAACTTGTTGTTGTTATTGAATAAATGTCTTCATTTTTATTATTATTATTATTATTATTATTATTATTATTATTATTATTATTATATTTTATTTTTATTTATTTATTTATTTATTTATTTATTTTTATTATTATTATTATTTTTTTTTTTTTTGATTATTATACGCATGGTCGGCAGCATTGGTTTGGTCGTAATATTAATTTCGCATGTTGTTTACAGCATCGCATGTGCATACGCACCCCCCCCCCCCACCCCCCACCCCCAATAAGATGTTGCTTTTAACGCCAATCACAAATCCATAAAGTACAATCGTGATAGGACGCGATAGATTTTGGGGGCAGAAAACGTGTGCGTACATATCACCAATATGACGTCAGGAGTCCCGGTTATAATTAGCTTAATCAATATTTCTTTCATTGAACTCATACTTTATTCCTAGAACTATCACAGAAATTAATTAACGCAATGGCGTTAGTTGTGAGTCTTAGATATTTCTTATTAAGAGGGGGGAAGATAAATAGCGTAATTATTGGTAATCACGATCGGTCAGCATCACGTTTTTGTACGTTTTTTAGCTTTATTTGCTATTGTTTTATTTTAGCGGTGAGAGTTTTACCTGTAGTATAAAGTCAAGCGAATTTGCCATTTGTTTACTTGTAAATTAGTATTACAACTTAAACGCATGACGCTAAAACATACAGACTGACGTCAAAACAATATGACATTTTGCGCAGCGAATCTTACAAAATAAGGATAAAATTACAAAGCTTCGAAGTTGAAGAGAGAATCATAACATGATTGATTCGATGCACCTGCAAATGCACCAAGTTTTACATGTTTAGTAGATCTAACGTTGCTATTGTTTTGTAAAAGTTTTTCGTCTTCATTGCTGCCTTTTCTGTCTATTTTGACTGTACAAAAAGTTTTACGTTCGACGTGGATCTATTTTACACAAGGCTATAAGATGCAATCTAAATTATTCTTGTGAACAAATTATTTAGATCCTTTTAACCTTATACAATTTTCATTTAAACACGATCGGAGATGAAAAATTAATGTGAGAGACGAAGCGAGGTCAATTTTTACATTTGGCGTATTTTTATAATTTTTTTCATAAACTTAGCCTAATAATAATAATAATAATAATAATAATAATAAAATTCTCATAGAGCAAGAATTTGTGAACCATTATACACAATTGAAGCGTCTATGGGTGCCATGGCCAATAACTACGGAATCCACATGGTGCACGCTGTTTTTGCATGTTTGTGGCCTACTGATCGGTGTACGTACAGGCTCCTATGGGCTACTCTCTGTCCACAGGGATCGCTACCAGTCTGTTAAAAAAAAGCTAAAAAGTCCTAACTTCAATTTTGTAATAGGTTATATAAGCAGGGGCGGATCCTGGATTTTTTGAAGGGGGGTCCAGAACGACAGGCCTCGGATGTGAAAATCAATGCGATTCATCCTTGATCAATACACAGAAACTTTTAAAAAGCTAAATCTCCAAAATTGTGGCCTCAGATGCTGTAACAAATTTACCACAAACAAGCAGACCAATACACTCCAAAAAAGTTTTTTTTTAAGTAATAAAACGTTAAATAGAGGAAAACATAAGACTTTTGGATCATTAAAAATTTCTCAGTCCATTTTTCGTTGGTATGTAACAAATAAACGGCTTATGTTATTAATCGTTGGTTTTTATGCGAGACCACAATGAAAAGAAGTAGGCGAGCACTTAAAGGACAACGCCTCGTAAAAGAAATCTGAATTACCTTACTGATATTTTAGCTCTAATGACAACGTTAAATGGCACACTTCTCCCATTCATTCAAAATACCATACANCAGGTTTATCCACCGGTTAAACCAAGTGGTAATTCAGATATCGCGATTCCATCTTTTATTTCAACTGGCCATTGGTGATTTCTTGCCTTTTGACGATATCCATTGTCCTTAAAAGCGGCGTGTGCGCGTGTGTGTGTGTGCACGCGTGCGTTGTTGTTATTGAATAAATGTCTTCATTTTTATTATTATTATTATTATTATTATTATTATTATTATTATTATTATTATTATTATTATTATTTTTTTTTTTTTTTTTTGATTATTATACGCATGGTCGGCAGCATTGGTTTGGTCGTAATATTAATTTTGCATGTTGTTTACAGCATCGCATGTGCATACGCACCCCCCCGCCCCCCTCCCCCCAATAAGATGTTGCTTTTAACGCCAATCACAAATCCATAAAGTACCATCGTGATAGGACGCGATAGATTTTGGGGGCAGAAAACGTGTGCGTACATATCACCAATATGACGTCAGGAGTCCCGGTTATAATTAGCTTAATCAATATTTCTTTCATTGAACTCATACTTTATTCCTAGAACTATCACAGAAATTAATTAACGCAATGGCGTTAGTTGTGAGTCTTAGATTTTTCTTATTAAGAGGGGGGAAGATAAATAGCGTAATTATTGGTAATCACGATCGGTCAGCATCACGTTTTTGTACGTTTTTTAGCTTTATTTGCTATTGTTTTATTTTAGCGGTGAGAGTTTTACCTGTAGTATAAAGTCAAGCGAATTTGCCATTTGTTTACTTGTAAATTAGTATTACAACTTAAACGCATGACGCTAAAACATACAGACTGACGTCAAAACAATATGACATTTTGCGCAGTGAATCTTACAAAATAAGGATAAAATTACAAAGCTTCGAAGTTGAAGAGAGAATCATAACATGATTGATTCGATGCACCTGCAAATGCACCAAGTTTTACATGTTTAGTAGATCTAACGTTGCTATTGTTTTGTAAAAGTTTTTCGTCTTCATTGCTGCCTTTTCTGTCTATTTTGACTGTACAAAAAGTTTTACGTTCGACGTGGATCTATTTTACACAAGGCTATAAGATGCAATCTAAATTATTCTTGTGAACAAATTATTTAGATCCTTTTAACCTTATACAATTTTCATTTAAACACGATCGGAGATGAAAAATTAATGTGAGAGACGAAGCGAGGTCAATTTTTACATTTGGCGTATTTTTATAATTTTTTTCATAAACTTAGCCTAATAATAATAATAATAATAATAAAATTCTCATAGAGCAAGAATTTGTGAACCATTATACACAATTGTAGCGTCTATGGGTGCCATGGCCAGTAACTACAGAATCCACATGGTGCACGCTGTTTTTGCATGTTTGTGGCCTACTGATTGGTGTACGTACAGGCTCCTATGGGCTACTTTCTGTCCACAGGGATCGCTACCAGTCTGTTAAAAAAAAGCTAAAAAGTCCTAACTTCAATTTTGTAATAGGTTATATAAGCAGGGGCGGTTCCTGGATTTTTTGAAGGCGGGTCCAGAACGACAGGCCTCGGATGCCAAGCCGACCACCCCCACCCCCCTTTGTGTTGGGTTGTTCATGGGCCCAGAAAATTTTTGGTGTTTTGGATCCGGAGAGCAAACAGGGGTCTTTGGTGCAGCTAAGAACTTTGATTTAGCTGGTCAAAATTCTAATTTCAGGAGGGGAATATTGGTGTGATACATTTTTCAGAAACCGAAAGAGGGGTCAGGACTCCCCTGACCCCCCCCTCTAAATCCACCACTGTATAAGAGGCCCCTGTGCTATAAGGGGATCCCTATGGGCCATGGGTAAGTGTTTTTCTAATGTGTAATGTGAGAATACGCGCACCTTTTTGTTCCTCAGCACAGTATCTAGAACATTTCAAACTCCAACGCTATTTGTATAATACTTAAGCGACTCTGGATGAAACTTTGGCCATTGTTAGAAGTCATAGCTTAGTATCAGTTTAAGCAATTTGGTGTGATTACAACAATAATTAAAAAACAAAAAACAAAAATTGATTTAAATTGTCAGTGGGATTTCCCCTCGTAAATATAAAAACTTTTCTTGCTTTTGCAAAAATACCTGAGCCCCTGAATGAAACTTGATAAGTTGTTAGAAGTCATGACTAAGTATCACTTCAAGTGAAATTTGATTTGATTACACAAGAAATAAAAAATAAAGTGCTTTAAAATATCATCAAAAACCTTTCCCCGTGTTTTCTAGACTTCAGGAATTTTTGGCGTTAGACAAAACTATGATCCCAGTGAAAATCAATGCGATTCATCCTTGATCAATACACAGAAACTTTTAAAAAGCTAAATCTCCAAAATTGTGGCCTCAGATGCTGTAACAAATTTACCACAAACAAGCAGACCAATACACTCCCAAAAAAGTTTTTTTTTTGAAGTAATAATACGTTAAATAGAGGAAAACATAAGACTTTTGGATCATTAAAATTTTCTCAGTCCATTTTTCGTTGGTATGTAACAAATAAACGGCTTATGTTATTAATCGTTGGTTTTTATGCGAGACCACAATGAAAAGAAGTAGGCGAGCACTTAAAGGACAACGCCTCGTAAAAGAAATCTGAATTACCTTACTGATATTTTAGCTCTAATGACAAATGTCAAATGGCACACGTCTCCCATTCATTCAAAATACCATCCATATTCGGGTTTTCTGGTTATATTAAAATTTGGGCCGCCCTTCCCAAATTTATATTAATCTAGATCTCTACTGAAGAGAATCATCTTGGCGCGTTCTCTTTTATCGATGCATCCATTTAATGGAAAGTAACCGGGTGGTACGATATATATAACGGCATTATATAGGAAGTTTTCGAGTCAAATCTAATTTTTGCACTGACAAAAAAAAAAAAAAAAAAAAAAAAAAAAAAAAAAATCTACTCACGACTCATAACTAGACTGGTCCCTGCACCTGGACTGACGTTTTGTACCATTTCTGTTTAAATAACTTATAGCTTACGCAACGAATCATTATAAATTCTTTTAAATTCTAAAACTCAGAAGGAAAAATCGATATAAACCTCGAACTACTGAAACATATATTTAGGGGGTTTCGTCGTTTTTAAGATCTGAATTGGGAAAGATAGCAGTGTTGCTGTATATTTAGACGCAAAATAACACGACCTTGGGACATAGAATTCCTTCAAGTCGTAGTACGCTAATCAATTGCAAACACATTTAGTGTTAAGTGATTTGCGTCATTCACTTTATTCGCCTTTGCCTGTCTTTTGTAATATGGCGAATTGACGGAACTGAAGCGCCTTCCGTCTTTGAACCAGATGTCATGTACCAGTACTCGCGAATCGTGATGTATACCGGTACATAGGTTAGTAGCGATCATTTCATCTACGGACTGAGGAGACATTTCCAATACGATTGCTCACTCCCAAAAACGTACCACTAAATAAAGATGCACTCTTACTAGTACACAAACTATACATATCAAATTTAATGCGTGACATGGTCATTAATTAATGTACTTTCTTTTTAAAATTCAAAACCACCTTGACAATTTAACTGTTAACAAAACGGGGGCGTCTCGATAGTCCGAAGGTTCATTGGTCCGAAAAGTGGTAACATTTTTATCGATTTTTTAATCAAGGGTTCATTGGTCCAAAGGTTCTATAGTGAACATTGGGACCAATGAACCTTCGGACTATTGAACCTTCGGACTATCGCTACGACCCCAACAAAACATATCTCTTTGTGAAAGCGATCTTTGTTTGAGAGTCCGGGGCCGAATGTTTAAGAGGATATGAGGGGGGTGGGGGTAGGGGGGGCAGCCGCTGAAGGCCTACAATAGATCTACAGACAATACACACAATTAGGTTACTTGTACCGCAGGTATTAACTCATATAAGTGCTGACCAAAGAAAAGTAAGAGGCTTCCGATATCCCCAACCCTGGAATATGACCCCTGACAGAAGAGAACGTTGGTCTTTTGAAATAACGGTTTCAGTTTATTCCATCTTTAGCGTCTCTCCTAACACATTTCAATTTTTCCCGGGTGATAGTCGACTAGTCACAACTGTCGCAATCACGGCATGTTCAAGACGGTGGATCAACCCGATGAGCAACTTATTGAGCAGCGAATTATCAGAGATTAACCCGTGGTTCCAATATAATAAATTTTTGAGAGCCCGTTCTTTCCACTGCTAGGCCGAAATTGAAAACAGCTTTCCTGGTCAAGTTTTCCAAGACCGATGTAAACCAAACTGCAAGTAACTGCTTAATGTCAGTTACTCAACTTCACCTTTATCAATTTCTTTTTTCATCATTTTATTGCCTTTGCCCATTATTTTCATAAGAAAAAAATAACCGTCTATGCATCATTGAACTTACAGCAGAAGTACTTCCCTTGACAAAATACCGATATAATTAATAAGATGCCAAAGCAAATGTTTTATTTTCTGGCCATCTCCTGCTTGAATTCAGCACTAAAACATTTTTGTTTTGCTCTTGCGCCAGCAAATACATCCTGAACTTCATCAGACAGCAGGTGATTCCTAGTGATCTGGCAATTTAGTTGACCATCACCTCCCCCTTCTACTAGTTACTGCAGTTGACCATCAGCACCATCTGTTGCTTTTTAATGGCCCTATTTCACACAGACCATGAATCCCACGAATGGCCATGAATTGACAAATTTCACAATTCGTGGTTGAATCGTAATCAGTTCGTGAAGTTCTTAACAGATTCATATATATTCGTAGTCAGTTCTTGCACTTCTTGACCAACAGGAATTGGTGGCAAAAACTTTGATGCCCCTATTTCACACAGACCACGAATCCCACGAATCGCCAGGAATTGAAATTTTCAGGATTCGTGGCTGAATCATAATCAGTTTGTGAAGTTCTTAACAGATTCGTATATAATTGTAGTCAGTTCTTGCAATTCTTGATCAAGTGGGAATTCGTGGCAAAAACTTTGAGCTGTTCAAAGTTTTGGCCACGAACTCCCGATTCCAAAAAGGCGTAGTGAATTTCTGGACAATATTTGTGCGATTCCAGCCGAATCCCAAGAATATTCGTAACACTATCGTACCTGTATCGTAACGGAATCGTGAGCGTGTCGAATTAGACCAGAAAATTGGCAAAATCTCACGAATCCTGAAATTTGTCAATTCCTGGCGATTCGTGGGATTCGTGGTCGGTGTGAAATAGGGGCCTAAACAGACTCTCATAGTCGACACCAAGGACTTCTGACTGTACTGGCCCTTTAAGGACACTAGCATTTAAGAATCTACTGACCCATGGCAGATATAGTGGCCAGTAACAAATTTACAAGTTTTCTTCAAATGGCCTGGGTTCATGTTTTCTATCACCTGGCTTTGGAACAGTGCTTATGTTGCACACTACCATTATTATCTATTGCTTCCTATCTTTTTCACTTGTACTGAATAAGCTTTGTTTGTCATATAGCCATACAGTGTCCACTCCACTGCCCACTTCGTCCACTGGTGTGCTGTTGGTCAGGGGAAATCTACACACTATAACTTGACCATCATCTCCCAGTTCCCTGTACAATTTCTCTTCTAAGGGAGGCATCTGGAATATAGGCCATACAGTGAGGACACATTTTAACACTATGATGTTCTAAAAGTGGGTAATTTCAGATTTTTCTGTTGGCAGATAGTCCTGGCCAGCCACCGGTAGATGGCAATAGGTAGATAGTAAAAAAAAATCAATTTTTAAAAGTTACTTGCTGTTCTTGAAAATTTTGTTTTCCTATTTTCACCTTCAAACAAGTAAATATTGATTCAGGCTGGTAGTTTTCTTAGGTCTGGAGAGAGATACTCACCAAAGAATCCACACCAAAAACTACTATGTTCTGATACTCTGACAGGTTCACCTAATAACCAAAATACTGCAATTTTAATGTTACACAAAAGCATAATTCAAAGAAGCATTTATTGTTGAATATTGCAAAAGAGCAAATAAATGAATTAATAATGCACTGCAGAGTATGACAAACAAGTGTGCAAATCTTTATGTACGCATGTTTATAAATCATGGCATTCATAAGAACATGTAAAATGATATTATATAGTTGATTAGTTAATGTCACTCACCTTGAACAGGTCTTTTCTAAAAAATGTGGTTTGGGTATGTACTCCATGGCGGCGTGCCTGAATTCTGGAGAACCACACTAGCCATGGATTCAGCTCTACACCAGAAGACTTGAAACCTTTTTTAGCTGCTTCCAAAACCTTTAAACATAACAAGATTTTAAGACAGTAACACTACTAGGTTTATGCATATATGTATTCTGTGAAACAATGTTAAAACACACACACACACACTTAGCAGTAAAATGGACAAAGTAATGATTACTGAGGAAAGGGTAAAGATTTGGCAAGATAATGAACAGCGTGTGGTATGTGATTGTGTGCGCATGCCTGCCCACAGGTGGTAAGAGAACTAAGCAAGGGAATTGCCAGTATATAACAGAATCGTCAATAGGAGTGCTAACGCATGATTTTTCGAGCTAGTTAAAAGCTGAGGAAAAAACTATGCTAATTGCTAATTAGATGGTACTAGGATCTTACAATTCTTCCGTCTCCGCTTCCTAGATCAATCAAGGACCCAGATCTTCCCTTCAGCATTCTCATGACATTGGTGATTTGCTGGTCTGTAGCGGGCACGTAAGGAAGACAAATCTTTCGCAGAGCTGGGAGAAAGAACGGCACAGTCACTGCGTATACGGCCGCGAATGTTCCCCCAAATATCCCCAAAATCACTGCACCACGTCTGGTCGTCTTTGGCACTTTTTTCTCCACGTTTTCCTCTTGCAAACCCATGTTTTTACTTTGGTCTTCATGAACATGTAATAGTGATATAATTAATAGATAAAATCGTGACAGAATAAAATAAACAGAAACTCTGCACTGCTGAGGACAGCACGTTTTCTGCTCTTCTGCGTATGGAGATTCGAACGCTTTCTGATAGACCGCCTTGAGACATGTAGTATCAGGTCATAAGTTGCCACTACGTGCCATATCAGGACAGTGGCAAAATACCATCTCAGTCAACACTAAATACTCCTGTGAAAATCTGCGTACACATTACTTATATTTGAGCATTTTATATCACCCTTTAACTAATATTACATTAAAACATCTGATAAAATTCAGTATTTTGGGGAAATATGTGTTAAAACATTTAATGGTCCCATTCTCATTTGTGTCCATAAAAAGAAGTCATTTTGTCTTACTCAAAATCATTATTCAATCCTCCCTGGACTTGGGTATATATATATATATATATATATATATATATATATATATATATATATATATATATATATATATATCGTTTTATATTCCTCTTATCAATTAAATTTAGTTCTCAATGTTTCCCACAACATTCAAAAGTACCTACAGTAATCGTTTGTCATTTCTTATTGCCAAGATATGAAAAATATACTTTAAATCAAGATCCAGAAATTTGAAATCCAATTTTATTGAAATAAAATATTTATTACAAATTGCATTACCAAGATATTATCTACAAAATCACCAAATTTGTATGCATCATATTCTTGCTTTGTATCCACTGTTAAAGCTAGGATACTTTTTAACTTATAGGAATTGATTCAATAAGTATTAAAACCGATGATATGGTATATTTGGAAGATGATTGCCTCAGAACACTAAAAGAACTTTAAAAAAATACCCCCAGCCACACTGAACCAACATTTATTTACATATTTCTATACACATGAGCTAAATTTTCAAAGTCATTCAAAGCCTTCCGGTGAGTGCACACCTGGCATAGAGAATGTTATAGCATGTGCTCTGCAGGCACACCAGAAAGCCTAATAGCCAATGCCTTCAGCAAGATATATAATAAAGAACTAGTTGTTCCTCCTTGCATTGATGGAGGCCAGAAGAGCCCCTCTGCCCATCCCCATGGCTGGTGGGGCTGGTGCAGGCTGAGAAGGGGGTGGGGGTGCCATGGTGGGTGGTGCCATACCCATCTGCTGCTGTGGTGCCATACCCATCTGTTGCTGTGGTGCCATACCCATCTGTTGTTGTGGTGCCATACCCATCTGTTGCTGGGCAGCCATACCCATCAGCTGTTGTGGTGACCTGCCCATTTGACGTTGTGCCATGTTCATTTGTGAAGAAGCCATACCCATCTGTGGTGCCATCATGTTCATCTGCTGTGGAACCGCTTGCTGTTGCCCTGGAAATGCCATAGTCGATGCCTGCTGGTACAAGTTCATAGTTGGTGCCTCCATGGAATGCTGGTGCTGTGGGGGGAGAGGGGCCTGCATTTGTGGTGGTCCAGGGGATTGCATGACATCTTCCTCCACTTCCTCAAAGGTACCCTCTATGTTCCAAGGGTGGAACTGCTCATATTCGTCATAGTAGCCCTTGCTGGTGTACCAGTAGCCCCCCTCCTCATTCCAGAGTGGTTCCTCATTACCCTGTGGTTCCTCCTCTATTCTGTCCAACATCATGTCTCCCTGCATGTTCATTCCACCCATGAGAGGTGCTGTCTCAAAGTTTTCGTCCCTGATCACATAGCTTCCTCCTCCGTAAATTGCATCCAACTAAAAAGATGAAGAAAATGAAAATAATATTATTATATTTATTCAGAGGGTAGGGAATACCTATTGCGTTCCGCGTGATCAGCCTTATTTTTTGAGTGTGTTGTTTGAGCCCAACATTCTGCAAGAAACCTCATTCAGGAATTCTTAGTGATTGGCCTGAATATATCTTGGTGTTTGGTGATTGATCTGTTTTAAAGTTGGTGATTGGTAATTAAGGGGGAGGGGGTATTCATTACCCTCTATTTAAATTAATTTTTTCATATATTTATACAAGCACTACGAAAAAAAAAACAAAAAACAAACAAAATAGATAAAATAAATAGATACATGTATATAGACACATTTATGAAAAATTAAATGGTTGTTTTCCTTGAAAAGGAGAAAAACAGGTAGGTATCTTATAACATTTTATCAACTTCATACTATCAGCCTCAGAACTGTAACCTACCTGGGCCCTAGAGGGAGGAGGGTTTTGTGCTCTGTTGGGATCCAAATTTTCAGATTTCTTCTGCAGTCTGTGAGAGGTACAACACGGACACAGCTTAGTCTTGATTTTCTTGGCTACATTTGCTGCTTTCGAGTGGCGGCAGCATGACATAAGAATGCTGAAAAATGGAATGTTTAATTAATTTTTTTTAATATAATTACATGGTGGAAGCAGTAGTGAATGCAGTAATAAGAGTTGGCATTTTAACAATTTTATAGGTACTTATTTTAAACTATCAAAGTAGTAACTGTCAACACATGTCAGGCACAATATGTGACATATATGGGCTCAAAATGTGTTTAAATCTAACCGTCATTAAGTATTTCTCACCAGCTTATTTGAAAATCCCTCCAATGGCATTTTTTCTTGAAAGAACATTAAGGACTAAGGAATTCTTCAAATTAACTCTTTCAGTCAAGACCATTTTAAAAACAAATTGAATTATTTAGCCTCTACCTACCAATACACAGCAGCAGGTCCTAACAGACACAACAGCACAAAGGCAGCTGCTCCTGCTGCAATCAGAACAGCTGTGGGACTCTGGGCAAACTCCTTGTTAAGTTTTTTTGCCAATGAATCACCTTTAAAACAAGAATTTTCAGTTTATGAAGGTAATTACCAGATATCCAGTTGAGATAATAAATGAATATAGATACAAATGTCTTCAATCTGTATCTGGACTTGAAATGTCTGTAAGTCATTGATTCCTATGACCATCAATGTTATTTCATAGCTCAGATAAACCTTGAAACTGAATCATCATGATCACTAACCAGCCATAGGCCTCATGAAAAGTACCCAACATCAAAGTTATCAATCTATGGGCAGACACTGAATGAGTAGAAATTTATTCTAAACATTTGGATACACAGCAGGAAGGTACGTTTATATAATTAAATCTGATATACTTCTATAAAATTTTCTCATTGCAGTTAACTTACACTTTGAATCAATTTTTCTTTGCAGAAATTTTACTGCTGGAAACCATAAAATCTAAAAGCATTTTCAAAGATATATGTTAGATTTCCAAAATGAAGTGTTGTGATTTTTAAGAAGGATTATATTATTTTAACCAGACTGTTTTGCCCTTTGTCAGACCTATAGATAAATAAACCTTTCCAGTGGCTAAATCTATACTTACTGAAACAGTCTTCCAACCTGATTGTCCCTGTTGTTTTGGTGGTACTGTTGTTGGGGCACACAAGGCATTGCTGGGATGCATATTCTGACTGATAAAAACCTATGGCACAGGGTACACAAGTCTTGGTTTCTGGGACACTGTAATGGCCGGATTCACATGGAACTAGATTATAAATAAAATAAAATAAAACAAAATACAACATTTATTATTCTGCTTAAACTAAGACCACATTCCCATACCTAGATCGATCTAGCAGGATTGACCCATCTAGGGGGGATTCTTGCTAAATTACTAAATTAATTATATATATATATTTCTACTTTCTTTTAAACTTCATCATTTATTGTTATACCTACCAATAACAAATTGGCACACTTACCACACTTATCTAAATTCAATTGATATCCACCTTCACAGGTCTCTGTTAATTTCCTGTGGAGATTTAACAGCACATACTCTCTGAACTGAGGAGGTTTCTGTAATAACTGAATCTTCTCTGCCTCAAGTTGTGTGGCAATTTTCCTGTACCTCTGCAAGACACAGAAAGAAAAACTGCAAAACCATAACAAAGATATTATCCTCATATGGAACGGCAAGAAAAAATATTTCACTGACATTTAGATGTTGAGATGCTTGCAATGAATGTCACATCCAAACACAATCAATTCACACCATCACATCTAACACATTATACCTTCTCAAGATATTGCTGGGTACTGGAGAGGACACAGCTGGAATTGCACATAGGAGGCTGGAAAGTGGCACTAGGAAGAAGAGTGAAAGAGTACCACACCTGGTGGCGCAGCAGAAGAGGATTGTACTGAAACATGAGACCAACATGTCACATTTCTACACAGAAGACAACATGAGTTGAAATAATATTTCATTTTATAAGAATTTCATTTAAATATAAACAAGGTATCATGTATCTAGGTCTTATGTGGTGCATGTAGTACGGCTGTTGCTGTGAATTACATTTTTGTTTGATACTGTACACATGCACATTAATGAACAGTCTATTCAAGGACCTGCGACTTCTGTAGCAGGAACTTTAGAAATACACAGCACGAACATTAGTAAAAAAATCCAAATTATTTTTGGTAGGAAGGACAACTTGCAAATGCTGTCATCTTGTGGCAGGTCTTACCTGGTCCTTCAGAGAGTGACAGGCCCCAGTAAGATGGCTGATGTAACACCCAGCAGTACGACAAGCATGATGGATGACAGCTGACTGCAGCTGAAACTTCTTCTTCCTCACCACATGCTTACTGCAATGGTGTACCTTGTACTTAACATCCACCAAAAACCCAGTCACTGGATTTTTATAGACTATAAGAAAATATATGTTAAATTCAAAGACCAAGAATAAAGTCAACAAAGAAATCAAATGTACATGTAAATACAGAAGTAAAAGTTGGACGCTGACTCACATTAACAACCTATTTCTTCATTAAAGAGCAATGCATACCAGATTTGTTTTAGATTGATACAACAACAGACAAATAAAATACAAAAAATTGCCATTTGAAAAAGAATTTCCGAAACCACATAAAAAGCATTCAATGCCACAATTTCAGACATATGCGCAAACCAGCAGTAAGGATTGTATGGTATACTATACCATGAAGAGCATTATAGAATGTCTGTGTAGTCTTGGGTCCACCAAAAGCAGTCTGACTACTGACCATACATGTGTACCGGCCACTGTCCTGTGGCTGGGCATCTTGGACAACCAAG